AAAAGGTTAGAATGAACCATTGAAGTCACCTCTGGTGAAAAAATATTTTGTACTAATGCCAATTTGGGCCTTTGGGGTATAGCTTCTAGGTATTTCCAATCGTTGATCTCAATTCAGTCCTAATGAACAGAGTATGTGGAATGCGGTGAAGCTGAACGCCCCAGCTTTTAAGCAGCCTTAAGAGCAAAGCCAAGTGGCAAAAGCAATTAAGAGTTCATTTAGAACAACTGAACTATGCCGGGGCTGGTTTTTCTGAGGCTCGGTCAACACTAATTCACAGTGTCGCCTTTTTATTCAAATGACCTCTCCCAGAGTTCCCTTTGTGTTGGTGCCGTTCTAATGCATCTCCATTAGAACAAAACCTGAGCTGCATTGCTGAAAATGAAGTTTGCCTCCTCGACTCTGAATGATAGCAGGCCTCTACCACCGGAGCTGTGTGTGCTCAGCCACTGGAAAAGGATTTTCAACCGTGCCATTCAGCCAGGGCCCCTGAAGCCTGCAGCCTTTATCTGCAGACTCGTTGATTGATGTGTTGTGGGCCCTGCTGTGGTTAACAGCAATTTTTATCTGTTGCTAGCGGCAACAGCCCAAGTCCCTGGTGCGCAGAGAGCAGCAGGGCCCAGGATCTGAAGCCGGACCGCACACGGGGATAAACAAATAGGTTTTTCAAGGCGGACAGCCCTCATAGAGAGGCCCCTGACAGGCAGCGCCCCACCCCAAGGCCAGGACAATGTCAGGGCCCCAGCCCACTCCTGCTGGGCTTGTGGTTTCCTTCACTAATTTTCACCATGTGCAGAGCTGGTGGTATGGAGACACCTGCACACCCCACTGTAAAGCAAGCAGGGCGAGAGAGATAGACAAAGGCAGACAGAGTGATGTAGAGAGTCACAGAGATGCTCACAAAGATGCAGTTAAGAGATCTCTTGTACTGTAGGGGAAGAAGCCATGGTTTTCTGTTAAAGTATAAGGATATAATTTACGCTCAATTTCTTTCAATTGCTGTGTTTAGCATTTAATCCAGTGAATCTGTGTCGTTTTGTTAAATAAAGCGTGAAGCTTTTAATGGCTTCTATTGTAATTAAGTGACATAATCCTTGTATTCGATAAAGATCTTGTAAAAAGCCTCATCACTCAGACAGGGAAGTCTATTTGCCACAATGTGGAGGTCGTGAATGCCAAATCAATTAAAACAAGGCTGTTTAAGAATGCACAAATGACTCTGAGACAGCTCTGTTTAGAGTGTAGACTCATTTAGCGTTAAATATGATTATGACAACTCGAGCAGGGGAAATGAAGTATGGGTGTGTCTGAGAGCTCTGAGCACTCTCGCTCAACCCAAACAATGTGGCTAAGGTTTTACTCCCTGACATCGCAGACATAAACCCTCCCAAAACAGACTAGTCAGATTATACTGTCACAGACAAAGCTCTGCGCTTTTATCGTGTGTGAAGACATCAGCCGTAGCGTGGCCTTGGGTGGTTTCAAAAGACGGGGAGTGGGAGACTGAGGCTCAATCACTTCATCTGAAAGGAAAGGGAGGTGTGTTGTCGTTTTCGCTCAGCTAAAACGTCTCCTTCTCTATAACGTATATCCAGCCCAGGGGTAGTGACAGAATGGGCAGAGAGTTGCAGTGAGATTTTTTGACATTTTCCGCATCTCTTGCAGCCTGTATCTCCCAGGCGCAGAGGGGGATGTTAGGTTCTTTATCAAGAAGCCCCTGAGAGAATGATAAATCGCCAGAGCCTGGGCCCATCTCCGCTGGAACAACAAGCAGGTAGCAGCGCAGGAAACAAGGCACAGATATTGTCTCCCAAACATAGCTGAGGCTATAATGAAGCCTGCACAAAGCAGACAGGAGAGAGTCTGCCTGATAAACAATTCCATACCCAGTCTTCCACAGAGAGCGAGATAGCGAGTCTCAGTACTGCTGCTACGTATCGCTGCTGGACTCAACGGTCAAGAGATTAGCCCTCACCCCTGAATGGAGGATGAAGGGTTGGTTGGGGGTGGGGGGTTGGAAGAGTTTTCACATCTAGCAATGTCATCAACTGAATAAACACACCATGTTTGGAGGAATATAAAGTAGTTGATAGTTAGCCTACCAAGCGAAAATAGTTTTTTGAGTGGAAGGATAGTGGATTCAAATCTGTAACATTTTAATGGTATATTATCTTTTTATCTTATCTTACATGTGTTGAATGCTGTCCTGTCTGTTGTTGTGGTCTGTTGTCATGGTAATAAAAAGAAATCAGTCTGATATCAGTCATTGCTTACAACCTCTGGTGTGAAGCAGTTCATTAATATTTAATGAGGAATCGATCAACATTACTTCAGTTGTCTAATGGATGACTATAAACTGGATTAATTCCGTGTTCACACTTCCTAGTTCCGGTGTCTGTGTTCACCTTAGTGAGAACACAGCACATTTAGCCCATTTGAAAATGCATGTCAGGAAAATTCAGAAAAGAAATCCATGCATTTTTGTGCAATAATTTGCCACTAAAATCCTCAATTGTGAAAGTATTCCATGTCAGCATAAATTATCAGTCATGAGCCTCTTATGTTAAACAAATATTTGGACCAGCCTGCGGAAATATTGTTTGTGATCAACTAGATAGAAACTGAAGCACTATCAATACTTGAAAATATGGATCCAATTCTGAGATGAAATATTAGTTAGCTGTTACTTTTTTTTTTTTTTTTTTTTTAAATATCTGACTTATATTTATAGTATGTGCAGGATTTTTCAAGTCCAAATCCACTCTTTGATGAATTAAACCGGCAGACAATGTGTTCTGTATGCAACA